CTAGTCTCTGTAATGAAGCCACATTCTTTTAAATATGTTTAATTCTTTTTAAACACCAGTTATTTTTGTATCCTTCTCCCCTAATGACTTACTGCACACATGAAATAAAATCCAAACTCCTTATCCATCCATTGCCCACATGGCTAACACCTTACTGGCCTCCTGCATCAGAGTTCTCCCTAGCTCACTCAACCACATGGGCCCTTGACTGTTCCTCAGGTAAGTGCCAGAACTCTGCACTTTTTGGGTCTCCTGCCTCAACTACTCTTCCCCAAACACATGCATGGTATTTGTTCTCATTTGATTCAGATGCCTGCTCAACCAACACCTAATTAGAGGACTTTTCTGATCATTCAATCTAAAATACCAGTCTCTCCCCACTCTCTCCAACACTCACTAGCCCTTTGTACTGCTTTATATTTCTCCATCGTTCTGGCCGATATCATTTATTCATTTTTCACTGCCTTCCTTACACTGGCCAGAATATAAGCTTCATGAAAGCATCAGGATCCTTTGCTCACTGCAGCATCCCCAGGGTCTATCTGTGTCTGGAATATGGTGTACTGCTCAATAAATACTAGTTGAATGAATGAATGAATTTTAGGTGTGGACTTTCTATGTGCCAGGTACTGGGAAAGGTGAATGATGAATAGGATCTAGTTTTTCCCCTTTAGGAATTTACAATTTAGCAATGAATGAGACATATATACAACTAATAGAATGGAATGTAACATGGGCTTAAAGTGTTAGAGGAAAACTGTGGAGTGAAGTAGCTAGAGATAAGGCAGGACAGACTGGGACCAGATACTGAGGGTCCTTGAAGTTCAGGCTAAGGAGCTGGTTCTCCATCTGAGCACCCACGATGGAGCTCTAAGTAGAAATGGAAAGAAGAGATGGATCTAAAATTAGAACTGAAAGAACTTAGTGACTATCTGGATAAAAGGAACTGAGGAGTTCTAGGTTTCTAGGAAATGCCACTGGCCAGATGGAGGAAGAATAAGTTGGAAGAAAAATATAGTTAGTAAATCTGGTTTTACACAAGTTGAGTTTGAGGAACCTATAACCACCACACTAAATCATAATAATTTCTCTGGTGATTTGGAAACTCTATAGTCCTGCTCCTTGGCTTTTTCTTCAGGTGTTCACCATGTTCTTGTAGAGCTGAGCCACATGTATCACACATAGGTGCCACTGTGTTAGCCATGATTTAACCATGCATGAAAAATCCTTAACATCTTCAGCCTTCATCAAATCTGTAAGTTTAATATATTCTTTATCATGCTTTCTTAAAACAAGGGATACCTGTTTTGCAGTGAAGTCTGACACAAATGCAGAGATTTCCCAGGAATTTTTCCTAGTCAGTGGCTTGAAAGTCCAATTCTAAATGGGGAGACAACATTATTTACAATTTTAAAAACCAAAAAAGTTCTCAAGGACAGGCATTATTTTGCTTTCCATTTTGGGAGGTCATGGAAATATCATGTGGATTTACGTATATATAAACATATATACATACAGATATGCAGGGGAGACATTAAGAATGAAAGAAGGGAAAAATAAAAGTACAAAAAAAAACCCCCAAAACCCATGTTTAACATTAAAGGACAATTGTATACAACATAAGGATAGAACCAAATGTTATAATGTCACATATTCAATATGAAGATTTTCCAGCACCTCAAACATTTAGTTAAAGGGTTTGTTGTTGGGAGTTTTTGGACAAATTCCAGTGATCTCATTTCTTAATTAAGTGATCCTCTATAGTTTTATCCTACGACTCTTCTCTAAATAGTAGAAGATACTGAAGTAAGGATAGACTTATTTTTTTAAAGGATACAAGACTCTTCAAATCGAAGTAAAAATATCCTGTTGGGAATTGCTGGCCAAATAGGCTTAATTTGGAGAAGTTGTATAAGACAGGCTCCTAACCAGCACACCTCCTAGTGGAGATTGGGGGATAGGGGTCAACCCTTAGAAGAGTCAAATACAAAAAGAGGGAGAGGTTAACTGCTAAGAATATCCTATAACCAGAAGGACCCAAAATGCCAGATAAATAAAACTGCTATATTGCAATAACCAAATAACTAGGAACAAAAGGTCCCTCTGATACTACAAAAGATTTTAACCTTCTCTATGAGAGCCAGGGAAAGGTAGTTTATCCATTTTCACTGCTTGATGTGTCATCTGTATCTTTCTTCCTACCTTCTACCTTCTACCTGTCTGGTGGGCCAAATACACTGAAGAGGTCAGAAGGAAAGAGACAGGAAACCAGCGATGGGCCCCAGTAGAAGGACAGGGTGGGTGATGCTTAGGATGATCATGACAACAGTTTGCTTTCATTTCCCACGTCCCTATCCCGCCAGAGGTGGAAATAAGAGAGAACTTAGTTGAATGCATTCTGGACACAAATGCTCTGAAGCTAATAAAATTCAAATATAATTGGCCCATCCAAAGATGTTAGAATCAAATAAAACATAGTTGGATATGAAAACAGAAATCATCTAGACTGAGGGGCCATTATTTAGTTTGTGAGAAAAACTAGGTTCCTAAGATGTAAGGACCCACCCAAACCACTCAGCAAGTTAGGTCACAACTGAGGCCAGATCCCAGGCTGTCTGCATTCAGCACTGAGTTAATTTTGTTCAAGACACAAATCAACTGGCTTCTTGTTTTGAGCAATTTAAATATATAAATGACTACAGTATTCGCAATCAGTACCAGGAAAACACAAAATCATAAAGTTGAAAGAGAAATAGAGTTGAGGAAAATTCTCTGTTGGGAAAATTGTAATTATTAATATACTTTAAGAAAATACTTTTACGGTTAAGAGGATACTTTATAAGAATTAGAATAAAATTACCTAAAAGTCATGGCTCTGTGAAAGATTTGGATTTGTACCTGTTACGATTTACTCAAAGTTATACTCTGGGGCAGTAAACTATTTGCTTGAATGTAAGAATTTTGATGAAAAACCGGAAAAGGAGCAAACTTACAAAAATAAAACGACGACATCAGGAAAAACCAAGGAAGCATAATTTGAGTTGACCTTGCCTTTGTACAGTACTGGCATTTTGTTCCAATGGGTTTTTAGGAAAAAAGTTTAAAAGTCAAAAAGCCAAAAGCAGAACTAAAGTTTGGTAGCAAAAATAATGCATTTAATAAACTCCATGTATCTTGTATTTCTAAAGCCTATTCCTATTTATTAGCCTCTTAAAACTAAAGCAACAACAACAACAAAGAAAGGTCCTCCACCAAGTCAAATACAGCCCAGACCATCAATTCTATTTCAGATTCAGCTTAAACTCTAGGACTGTCAAACCATCCCCATATAAACACTGGTCAGTTAAACGGCTTTCTTTATACCTGTTAGCACCGTCCATCCCTGGGAAGATGGCAGGAACTACTTTTATTTCAATTTGCAGATATATAATTTATCAGGTAAAAAAAATAAGAGTCCTTATAAAACATACTAGGAAAGAACCTTATCATTTCTGCCAAAGAGAGTTCAGCATGAACTCTCAGTGTGCATTTTGTTTTCTTGCTGTAAGATGAATTCCTTATTATTTAACCACACAGTGAGTCATGAAACATTCCACCGGAGAGAAACTCGGCTCTTTAACAAACCAATTTCCAACCCTCATTCATGGAAACCATAAGGTGTTCCCTTAACTAAGGGGAAAACCAAACATCAGTGAAGGGACAATATAGGCAACCCAAGTAAACAGCCCGTCTGAGGGGGTCCATGCTGAGTTTAGAGCTTTGGATGTAAAAGCCAGCTTGGATCCACCTGAAAATAAGTGGGAGTTGCCTACTTAAAACCCTGAGAAACTTGAATGGAACAGTCACATATTGCTTTAAGTAGGAGTAGTAGAAGGTGTGAATCCATTCAGGTCCATCCACATCCCACCTACCCAAAGTCATATCCTGAGGGTATTGTTTTCCCAACAATCCAAGCCACTCTGGAACAGCTGTTCTGAATTCTGTGTGAAACATCTTTAAACACATATTGCTAAGGTTCCAGATATCTGTCTCTGTGTGGGAAAAGCTATGCAGCCAATTTACAGTGCTTAGGTCAACTGTTTATTTATTTAATGGGTTAATAACACCAACCAATACTAGGTGGTTTATCTGCTGTTCAATAGCCTGCAGTGTCTGTCTGAAGATGTCTGAGAGTTTCCTTTCTCATTAAGTGAAAATAGAACATCATTTCTAACAGTCTTATTCATCATTCTATACGAATCTTGTATAAAACAGGCAACCAAACAGCGTTTTCTTTTAAAGCTTCCAGACAATAAGTTAGTCCAACAGGGTATGTGGTTAAAAAAGAAACAAAAATTAGTATGTTTTGATCCCAACAAGTTGATAAATTTCATTTCTAAATAATAATTAGATGTTTGGAGTGCAAATCCCATAATTATCGAAATTTAGATCTTTTACTTGACTTACTTGTATTTTAAGAGCAGCCATTGAATTAACCAGAGTCCTACAAGGATCATGCCATTAATTTCACAAATAGAAAAGGCCCACTGCACCCGGTTAAAATGGTCAAAAAACGTGTCCGGTAGTGGAGGCTGCACCTCCTTAGGAGGTACTCGTTCATGGACGACCGAGATCATCACTGTGGTGAGAACAAAACAGGAAAGTGCGTAAAGAAAGGCCAGAAAAGTCTTGCCCCACTCCATGGGGTACTGGGAGCGCTCCAGTTCTGGCATGGGGATTTTTATCATCTCTTTCCTATACCCATTTGGCATCCCATTGGGTTTAATCTTGATGCTGAAGCTGCCATCGGGGGTGGGGATGTCTACACCAATGTTGAGGTGCCCATTGGCGTGGCCGTTCTTGTGTGCTTCCAAATGGTGCTCCATTTTCAGAGTTTCTATCATGTCCAAGAGCCGCTGCCCGTTGTCAGAGGAGACTCGGCACAAGGGGGGCTTTTTTGAAATCCTCTTGGGTTAGGTTGATCAAGTCCTGGCCTGTGAAATGCTCCAGAGGCTCACAGTATTCTGGCATAGCATTCTCCAGCAGCCAGTCTGCCACCTTCTTGGGTGACCAATAAACCACTTCCGTCATTGTACTGACAGACAGCAGGCAGACCCCAGCTCACTCTTGGCAGGTCAGCAGTCACTGTTCCAATAGGGCAGGACACTGTCCTGCCTTGGCTCGTTCATCCTGTGGGGCTTCATGAGCAGAGACTTGTTTGGCAAGATGGTCAGGGCAGTTTTTAAACACCTCATGTAGCTGTCCAGGGTTCCCGAGCACCTGAGCATTAATTCACCTCATTTTTGAGCAGGATTCTTCCTTCTGTGAAAGCAAGAGAAAATATCAAGATACTGTACTTCTAAATTACGCCCCCCCCCCGCAAAATGCAAAGCCTTATATGCATAAGGAAAGTGGAAAACCAGTTATTCGTAAACTCAATAGTTTTCAAACATGTATTAGTTTCAGGTACCACTGATTCCCTGGTTATTGGTCTTCTGTGACACAGCATTAACTTGGATCTGAAGACGGATGTTGTCAAAGGAGACATGTTTTATAGAATTTCCAATCATCTGTTTCCTAAGAAGCAATTTAAGAGTGCTTTGGACACTTTTCAACCAGGTCAAGAGATCAGGTATTCTCTTTGTCCTCACATGCTTCCTGAGACAATATAAAAGAATAAAATGTATTTGTTTATCTCGTGAAGAATGTTTAAAAATGTACATAATATATAGCAACTCATAGAATTGCTGAGCTTCAAGATCATCTGGCTCAATACTTCTATATTCTTTTTTCAAAAAGAAAATAAAATCAGTGAATCCCCTTTTCCAAATGTGCTTAGTTCCCATATGTATAAAAGATCTACAAATGCCACTGCTTGGGTTGAAGCACAGGTAAAGGGCCAAGGTCCTGACTGCTCTGTTGATCTTTCTTAATCTCAGCCCCTCTCAGGTTCTGTGGAACCCCACGGTTTAAAAATTAAGGATCTGATCTAACTCCTTCATTTATAAATGAAGAATCAGAGTTCTAGAAATGTCAAGAAACTTGCCCATGGCCAAGTGGCAGTCTGCATAGAAGTGTTATAAGTTTCTGAGTTCTAGTTCAGTGGATTTACTTATTAAAATATCTGATTACTTATGTGAAAATAGCCAAAGGCATATCTGTAAGGAATATTCTAAAGTAGGATTCAAATTTTATAAATTTATGCATAAATAGAAACATACATAAATAATATGTATAATATTTATAATATATATATAACTATAGCTACTGTACATAGGTTGAGAATCCCTAATGCAAAAATTCAAAATCCAAAATGCTCCAAAATCCTAAACTTTTTAAGCACCAACATGATAATCAAAGAAAATGCTCATTGGAGCATTTCAGACTTATGGATCCATGCTCAACAGAGTGTATTCTGTAAATATTTCAAGGTGCCCCCAAGATTGAAATCTGAAACACTTCCGGGCCCAAGCATTTTGGATAAGTGATGCTCAACCTACATAATATTGCATAAAACAACTGGAAAGAAATATATCACATATTAACTGGAGTTATACTTGATGATAGTTCTGCAGGTATTTTCTACTTTTCTCCCACCTATTTTTCTTTAATAAGCATAAATTACTTTTAAACAATCATACAAAATAAAAAACAAGAAAAGTTAAAAATAAAAGACCTAGCTCCTTAACGAAGCACAATAATAGCTAATAAAATGTGGCCCTTGGCAGAAGACAGACCACAGTTCAACTCTCAGCATCTCCCATACATAATCCATTATGTGAGCTTCAGCTTAGTCACCTCTAAAATGAAGATAATGATAATCAAGTATTTCCTTCACAGGGTTGTTGTCAATATTTAACTAAAACATCTTAAGTGAAAGTTCATGAAACATAACCTAGCTCCAAAAGCAGTGATTTTCAAATGAGTCTGTAAGTACCCATATCCTGTTTTCTTTCTCAAATTATCTATCATAGCCAGTAACCACTGTCCACTACATCTCACTATGAAAAAAACTCTATATACCAGTGGGCTAATTTTTTTCTCAAATGATGACTGTTGCAAAGATCTGGAAATTTAAGAGCTTGAAATGCTGTTTCCCTGAATATGCTTTTGTGAAATAATAATCTGATAAAATCTTCCAAGCTTTAAAACAAAATCTATAGCCAAATAAGCCTAGGAATGCATACTGTAATCTCTCCTGAGGACAGCAGTATGCATTAGGATGTTAAAATCTCCAGGAAATCCTACAATAAAGGAACTATTCACCAGGATTTCTCAAACTGACTTCATCAAGGCTGTCCTATTCCTTGCCCCTTTTCCTATAGGACTCATCTCTACTGAATCCCAAAATCCTTGTCAGGGGGAGACATGGTCTTAATCTATTGCTCAGGCTGGAGTGCTGTGGTGCAATCATGACTCACTGCAACCTCTATCTCCTGGGCTCAAGTGATTCTTCCAACTCTGTCTCTGAAGAAGCTGGGACCACAGGTGCATGCCACTGTATCCAGCTGATTTTTTAAATGCCTTGTAGAGATGGGGGGTCTCACTATGTTGCTTGGGCTGGCCAAAATCTACTCTAGAAGGAATCCCATCTTACTCTGGGAGTCCCAATCTTACTCTGAGAGTCCACTCCCAGTTTTCCAGCCCATATAACAACCAATCAAATGGCAGTAATAGCTTTTAAAGATTTTCCAGACTTTGCAAACAAACTAGGTGTTTGTGTGCGCTTCCATAGTGCTGTGCACTTTCCTTGTCACACCTTTCTGTGACTAAGTGTCTGGCTAGCCACCCCCCCCACCCCAAGAGCCTGTGACTGACTGTGGAGAGCTGCAATGTGAAGCACCCATATATCTCACATGCCTGGGGCTCAGAAGGTGCTCAATCAATGTCTGCTCAGTATCTTCCAAAACATTCCTTAGACCTAGTAACATGTAGATGACTTAATGGGAAACAAATCTGCTGAAAACACAATTGAGAATGAAAATGGCTGTAAAACAATTTGGATGGGCAAGCAGAATAAGATTGGCATTCTCCAGAGAAATGTAAAACCAAAGTGCATCTCTGACCACTTAAAGCCATGATAAAGGAACTTCAATTGCCACAAGTACTACCCAGAGAGTGTCAAGAACACACGCATGCCAAATGGGAGTTCTGGCGGAAGGTCAGGAAGAAAAGGGGACCTCCTTGGCCTCAGACCCAAGGCCTCCCCTCAAACACTCTTCAGCAGAGTTAGGAAAACAGCCAAAGGAACCTTCAACATCTTGAAGTGACTGTGAGAACTCTAAAGACATATGCTCAGTGGAGTATTCAGGCCAAGGGAGATGAACACAGGCTTTTCACCTAGGTTTTTCATTTCCCCCTTGCCCAGCACAGGAAGTCAGCCAGGACAGAAAACTCCCTGAGAACCACAGACCCCAGACAGAGGCCAAAGTGTTATTTCAGTTCTCTCTGATGGAAAGAAGAATCACAAAATAACCTCTCAAGAGATAATCAACTTTTTAAAAAAATTTTATCTGTTTACTTGTTATTTTACTTTAAGTTCTGGGATACATGTGCTGAACATGCAGGTTACCTAGGTATACATGTGCCATAGTGGTTTGCTGCGCCTATCAACTCATCATCTAGGTTTTGGGCCTCTCATGCATTGGGTATTTGTCCTAATGCTCTCCTTCCCCTTTTTCACCCACCCCCTGACAGGCCCCTGTGCATGATGTTCCCCTCCCTGTGTCCAATTCCCACTTATGAGTGAGAACATGCAGTGTTTGGTTTTCTGTTCCTATGTTAGTTTGCTGAGGATGATGATTTCCAGCTTCACTCATGTCCCTGTTATTTATGAGAGACCCACAGTCAATATCATACTGAATGGGCAAATGCTGGAAGTATTCCCTTTGAAAACCAGCACAAGACAAGACTGCCCTCTATCACCACTCTATTCAACATAGTATCGGAAGTTCTGGCCAGGGCAATCAGGCAAGAGAAAGACATAAAGGGCATTCAAATAGGAAGAGTGGAAGGCAAATTGTCTCTGTTTGTAGATGACATGATTGTATATTTAGAAAACCCCATAGTCTCAGCCCAAAATCTCCTTAAGGTGATAAGTAACTTCAGCAAAATGTCAAGATACAAAATCAATGTGCAAAAATCACAAGCATTCCTATACACCAATAATAGACAGGCAGAAAGCCCAATCATGAGTGAACTCCCATTCACAATCACTACAAAGAAAATAAAATACCTAGGAACACAACTTAAAAGGGATGTGAAAGACCTCTTCAAAGAGCACTATAAACCACTGCTCAAGGAAATAAGAGAGGACACAAATGGAAAAAAAAATTCCATACTCATGGATAGGAAGAATCAATATCGTGAAAATGACCATGCTGCCCAAAATAATTTATAGACTTAATGCTATTCCTATCAAGCTACCACTGACTTTCTTCACAGAATTAGAAAAAAACTACTTTAAATTTTATCTGGAACCAAATAAACAGCCTGTATAGCCAAGACAATCCTAAGCAAAAAAACAAAGCTGGAGGTACCATGCTACCAGACTTCAAACTATACTACAAGGCTACAGTAACCAAAACAGTACGGTACTGGTACCAAAACAGATATATAGACAATCAACTTTAAAACAGGAAAAAATCAAATGCTAGAAGCCAATTTAATAACGGGCCATCAAATATCCAACTGGCGTTATAAGCATGGCAAACACACATCTAACAAAGGAACTGGAATCTTGCAAAGATGAGCCCATCAAGGCCTCTTTGAGACAGCAAGACAAATTAATGGCTTCTATTAACAAACTGGAACAACAAAATTATTCCTTCCTTAAACTAACGCCCGTGCTTCCCCATAACTTAGAATTCTCTATGTATTTATCAAAAAGTTCAGATTTTTCCCTTAGTCTTTAAGGTCCTTCTCTGTAAAGCCTTAGCTGTCTACTCCACTTCATAATCCTTTTCTCCTCCCTGAATTCCTAAACCATGAATATCTATGGTACACAATACAATTAAATGGTCTTATGTGCATGGTATGGTAGAAGGAGTATTAGCCAAGTGAGCCAGGGAGCCAGCATTTGAGAGTCTATCCAGCTACTTCCCTTCTTGACAAAGTCCTTTAGCCTTTCCAAGTCTCAGTTTCCTCTGGGAAATAGGATTAACAACTACCTTATCTACTGATATGGTTTGGCTCTGTATCCCCACCCAAATATCATTTTGAATTGTATTCCCATAATTCCCATTCTCCTTATGTGTTGTGGGAGAGATCCAGTGGGAGATAATTTGAATCACAGGGGTGGTTCCCCCAAACAGTTCTCATGG